TAAATTTAAAACAGCAAGTGTATTAGGATTTTCTAGAGGAACAGAATCAATAGAAACTATCTGTATAATTGTGCAAGGAGTTTTTTTAGGTAGGCTTCCAGGACCAGTGATGGAAGAGTCCATGGAACCAGCGCATGGGATCAGAAGTGGAAGGGTCCACAATGGCCGTCTGCATGCAGAAAGCAGGAGGTTACAGTAATGCTGTTCTAGTTTATATGTAGATGTCCCCTCAAAGTGTAATGTGCTCATAGGTGGGGCTTCTGGGAGGTGACTGGATCATGGGTGTGTGATACTGGATCATACTAGGTGATACTGGATTAGTCCACTGATGGGTTTACAGCTGGTGTGATGCTGGGACGTGAAGCCTCCTGGGAAGAAGTGGTTTACTCTGGGTGTGGCTTGAAACAGTGTATATCCCTCTTCCTCCCTTTATCCCTCTCTGCTTCCTGCCTGCAATGCCATGAGCTCTTTCTCCTCTCCTTTGCCATGTGCCTTTGCCATGCCCCCTTCCTAGGAGCCAGCCAACTATGGCTGACACCTGTACAAATGGTGAGCCGAAATAAACCTTTCCTCCTTTAGTTTATAGGTGTTGGGTATTCTACCCCAGCAATGAGAAAGTAACAATGACAGATTCTCAGCCCAAGAAGGCAGAAGCTGCAGAGCAAGAAGATCAAAGATGTCGCACCAGTCCGAGGCTGAAGTTCACTGTAGAGTCGTCAGTACCAGCCTGCATTAGAAGGCTGAAGAAACTGGAGACTGATGATGGTCAAAGGCAATGGCAGTGCTCGCTTTGACAGCACACGTATTAAAATCAAAAGCGATGGCAAAGACTGGGGCTCTTGCAAAATGGGAACATTTCCTTATTTCCCTTTGTGCCACCTAGGCTATAAGCCTTTTGGTTGGTGCCACCCACCTGTGGGGTGCGTTGTCTTCTCTCAGTTTGCTGGCCTACATGTCAGTCATGCACAGCCGTATGCAGAACTGAGCCTTACTAACCAGCTGCGCATTTCTTAATCCATTTGTGTTGACATACCATGATTAAATTAACAGCTGCAGCAAGGCTACCGGCACAGGTTGGATAAGTGTCCTCCAAAGCCCATGTGCTAAATGCTTGATCCTCAGCTTGGTGCTATTGGAAAATGCGGGAAACCTTTAAAAGATGAGGTCTAGAAAGAGGTTTTAAATCAGTGATGCTTTCAAAACTAACATACAGCTGTCTGTGGCACACGTCATAGGTTCATCACCACTGTTTTAGATCATTGGAAGTGAGCCTTTGAGAGGGCTGTGTCTGGGGCTTGAAACTTGGATTTCTTGTGTTTTGGACACTTAGCTCTTACCTTTTCTCTGTCTCTAGTTGGTGGAGTTGCAGGCCCACTCTAAACTGGTTAAATGGGAAAAGGAAAGATGGCAATAAGTATCAGCTAATAAGAGCTTCCACTGACTTGTTAATTAATTTCTGCAACAATAACCCTCTGGCACCTGCCAGCTTCACTCTACAGTGCCGCCAATGAATTTCAAAAATAATTAAAGTTAATGAGCTGCTCTTTGTGATAGACCCCAGAAAACTTAACAGCCATAATTAGTGAGAAGTGCAAAGTGGGGAAAGTGTCACTTGCTGATAAACAGGATTTCCTCACCTTGTTGAGACAAGAATCCTGCCCGTATATGAAAGTGATGCTCTATTGAGTCACTTGCGACTCATGACTGGGTTGACAAGTTGAAAGTGAATTGAAGGACAAGTACTGATCTTGAAAACAATTCCACTAGGCGAAAACTAGACTCTTCCCTTAGACTTCAACAAGTTGGTAAGAATTCATGGCAAACCTATGAAGTTTGTGGGCCTCACAGACTCAGCCATCACAGCCAAGCAGGGCACTGAATTTTGTCCGCTTTAGTAACAGAAACAAGTTTGGGATTGACGGATACAGAGGAACTGGAAGGGTCAGGCTGGAATCTGCCACAGCTGGGAGAAAGGGATATCTCTGAGGAGGCAGAACATCATCTAAAGCTGCTTGCCTGCATTCACCTGTCAGATGACTTTATGTGGTAGTCAAACTTTTTTCATTTTAATGGCAATAGATTTAGTTCACCTCAAATTCAAGTAACTTGACTACCTCATCAAAACCTTCGTCTTACGTTTATAACAATAATAACAATATATTCTTTTTGAAAATAAATGTATTTAGGTTTTTAAAAAATGATGTTTTAAAATTAAGACAGGCATGGTGACCCATGCCTGTAGTCCCAGCCACTGAGGAGGCTGAGGCAGAAGGATGGATAGTATGTTTATTTATTTTTTGGTACCGGGGATCGAACTCAGGACCTTGCACTTGTGAGACAGGAGGTGTCACCACTGAGCGAAATCCCCACACTGAATAATATGTTTAAAATGAGCCACCTGAGCAACCTAGTGAGACTCTATCTCAAAATTCAGACATTTAAAAAAAAAGGCTGTACCTCAGTGGTACATCCTAACATGCCCAACATAGACTAAGACCCTGGGTTCACTCCCCGGTGCCACACACACACACACACACACACACACACACACACACACACACTCTCTCTCTCTCTCTCTCTCTCTCTCTCTCTCTCTCTCTCTCTCTGTCTGTCTCTCTCTGTCTCTCTCTCTCTCTCTCTCTCACACACACACACACTCATGCAAAACACCAATAAAAAAAGATTTTACTTCAAGTGGGACGTGACTCTGCTAGAAATTGAAAATTTGGAATGTTCTGAAAACTTCAAGGTTACTACTTTGAATGTCCTAATTGTTACTAGCACTTTATTTTATCAAATCTAAGGAGCTTTTGATTGCAAAATGAGTCATTATTTTATGTACCACAAAGAAGAAAATGCTGCCAACTAAGCTATGGCACAATGCCTTCTTAGCACTTAGAATACGTTTCATGTGTAAGGAAGGCACTCTTTCAGACTGACTAGCTATCACTTTTGCTTTTAAATCATCTATTGTGTGCCTAATTTTTCACTTATATCTGAATGATAGTGGGATATTTTAAGGACAATGAATATTAAATCCTGTGCTATGGATAATGCGTATCACTCTACTGGCTGTGACCATATTCGTACATGTATAAACAATAGCAAAACTTTTTTTTTTGGTACCAGGGCTTGAGCTCGGGACCTTGCACTTGTGAGGCAGGTGGCAGCACCACTGAGCTAAATCCCCAGCCCAATAGCAAAAATTTTGCTTCTTCCAATCTCAAAGGAGAAAACAGGTTTAAAAAAATGCACTTTACAAGCCAGATGTGTGCCTGTGGCGCTAGCTATTTGAGAGGCTGAAGCAGGAGGATCCTTTGGGCCCTGGAGCTGGAGAACAGACCAGGTCACATAGTGAGGAAATTGAGTTGGGTATTATAGTATCTGTGATGTATGGGACCCTGTCTCAGTCATAGCCAGGCTGGTGCAATGGGGTTGCTTTCATGTGATTGTAATGTATGTGTCAAATTCTCAAGCGATTCCTGAGGAAGGTTTGTGGAGGTTCCACTTTTATGGTTCTGTCACCCACTACTATCCACAAAACAGGTAGTAGAGGAAATAGGTAATAGTTACACAATTAGCTGCAGATAATTTACCATCTCACCCCTCAGTGAAATAATCATCTTTCAGTTGTAACATCCTCTAATAGATGTTCACTATGAGAGACCATTATGAAGGCCATGATGGGCCCAACCATTGCTCTAATTGCTTTATATTTGTTATCCAGTTTATAGACATTTTTCATTTAATGACTGGGTTCTGTTCTTGTGACTAGGTCACAAATGGGTTGATCACCCAATGAGGAATTGTATGTAGTGTGTACATTACCATATTCAGAGCAAAGAAATGGCCAAAGGAAACTCCAACTTGATGACTTTGTTTTTATTTGCATAACTCTTATCCACAGTACTGTGATGTACAGCAGAACATAAGACTACAACACTGAACTGTACAGTATAATCTGCAAAAATCACAGTACTGTATAAACAAAGTGTACTGCACAAAAAAAGGACATTGAAGTGCTATAAACAAGATGTCCAAAACTGTACAAAAATAAAAGATGGGTTGTAAGTCTAAGTGGTGGGTCATAAGTTGAAACAGCGTGCCTTGGTCATAGGTCTGATCAGTTGTTAAACGGGTGGGTAAATGAGGACAATCTGTACGATGCAACAACCTTAAGGTAGATATTGTTATAATTGTCATCTCATATATGGGGAAAGTGTGGCATGGAACAATCAATGAACTTTCCCAGGATCACACAGCTGCTTAATGTCAGACAGAGTTAGGTTTGAATGCAGGAAATCAGCCTCAGCATTCATGCTCTTAACCATTACACCATAATGTTTTTACCCCATAGTACAGAAAAGCTGTAATAAAAGAATAAAGATGCATATGGATTGCCTCAGTCTGCACATACTTAGGAAATGTATAAAGTAAACCATGCTCCCTGGATTCTCAATAAAAATTTGTTTATTGATGGTTCCAAAAAAATGAAGTAGAAAGAAGTACTCCACAGTTAAAGGTTTTTTGTTTTTCTGGTACCAGGGATCAAACTCGGGTCCTCGATGCTTGCAAGGCAGACAGCAGAACCACTGAGCTAAATCCCTGGCCCTTCATAGTTAATGTTAATAATGAAACCTATGCTGTCAGTGAGTTCAGGCTTGCAAGACAGATGGAAGACTAATGTTAGGTCTTGTGGAGGCAAAATGTCAAACCAAAGACCAAAAGTGCCAGGCTCTGTAGTTCTCTGTGCTGGATGCACTAACTCATCATTCAGAAGTCCTCAAGTATACGAGCCAAGGGTTAAGTCCAGGCCTAATTCTGACCACACGGACCTGTGATAATATTTGGAATTTAGTGAGCTGCAGCAGAGAATTGCTTTGAACGGAAATCAAGCATTATGAAGTCTCAAGTCATTGTCTGGATTCTGGCAGGCTGTGGTAAACACTGAGCTAGGGAAGTTAATTAAACTAAAGAATCGAATTTTTTCTTTTTTAAAGAAATGGCCATTGGATGTTAATCAGCTGTAAAGAAGAGAGCAGAAAGCCAAGGGAATCTATAAAAGAGCTTTGCCCTGTAAGCACAGTTGCCTCACCTCTGACCTCCATAACTGAGAAAGGATCTGGCTTTGACAATATTGTGTGTGAAGTTAGCAGCTTGAATCACTGCCGTGAGCAAACGCATTTTCTCTACTGAGAATGAATTCTTCTGAACTGCTGAACAAAGATCTGTGCTCCTGCATGGTTATTATTTATTTGGAAGATTGCTAGAGACTCTGAGAAACATCCCCTGCTCCCCTCCTTGTTTCTGGAAGCTGCAAGCTGTGAAATTTAGCCTCTGCTCCATAGGAACAAAACACGTGGAAAGGAGAAACTGGCCAGGCAAGTGGTATGAAATGTGAAAACTGCCTACAGAGATAACGTCAGTCACAAAACAAGGATGGAATAAAGAAGGAAGGCCTTATTTATTGTCCTGCTTAGTGGCTTGGAGATGGTGCACATGACTAAATTATTGATTTTGGATTGCACCTTTCAGAGAGTGGTGTTTGGGGGCAGGCAAGGCAGAGGGGCTGGACTCTACTAATTTTGAAGTCTTCTCTGAGTCAGGTGCAGTGAAATTACTGAATAGCTGCCATTGGGTCATATTTAGAAGTCTGCACTTCTCTGCCATTAATAGCATGGAGATTTTTTCATTAAGCTGTTAAAACTTGTATCATTGGGAATACTGATGTTCCACTATCACTACTGCTAATTCTACTATCATCACTACTCAGATTGAAGTCTTGATGAATTTGCCTTATGGGAAAATATATTCCCACAGGATAAGTTGGCTGGAAATAGGGCTCTATCAATTCACCCAGACCCAAAGAAACTATTTAAGTATTATTACAATTGCACAAGTCATCCCCAGGCCCTGCCTGATCCCACAGCGCTACAGAAACAGCATCGCATGTGGGGAACTCTTTCATTCTGTCCATTCACATCCTATTCCACTGAGTGCCCTGTGGCTCCTAACTGTCCCAAATGAAATACCCACAGGCTGCTGATTGCCAAACACTGAAAATGGAATCATTTTGAAGGACAAAAACCAAATTGTTACGTACTTTAACAATGTACTATAGTGAACTTATTTATTTTGGTAAGCACATCTCTGGCTCTTAGAAAACACTCAATAAGTATTTGTCAAAAAAACTAAAAGCTTCCATGTGGAATGAATGTCAGCACTGCAGCCAGACATTGTGGAAGCAGCTGCTGTCCCCATGCCGTCATTCACTGTTCTCTCCGTGGCTCTTTCCCTACATGACAGCTCCTGTCGTGTCGTCCCCTCTGCCCGAGCTTGCTATGACAGCCAGGGTTCAGGGCCTGCTTCAGCTCCCGCCACATCCTCCCACCACGTCCTCAAGGACACAGGCTCTGCCCCCCGCCCCTCCCTCCCCTCTGGAGCTGTTACTAGAGGCAGGAGTGTGAGATGGGGAGACAGGACACCCAAGGTTGTCCTCCAGCTCCAGAGTTCTGATTGCTCATGTACCACAGGAGGCCTTCTGGACCTCTTCCCCTTTTGTATCTCCTCCATATGTCATGTTTAAGGTGGCAGCAGCTACTTCTACATAGGGGACCCATAGACAGTCCCAGAGAACAGTATAGAACAGTTTTCCAGGGAAAATACAAAATCTCCAAGAAAAATAAATAAAAAGAACAAATCCCATTGGTTATTGAAAAAACCCACAGAATTAAGGGCATTAGGCCATATCTATCAGAAAGATAAAAAATGAAAGGGAAGAGGGAAGGCACAGGGTAATGTGAATTCGTAGAACCCACTGGGGGACAATTATAATATGTTTAAACTCTTTAAGAGAAGATACTGCTAATCCAGGAATTTTATGTCTAGGAATTTTCTCCAAAGAACAAAGAAGTCAGACAAGGTGTATATATCTGGATATTCAATAAAGCAATACTTACAATAGCAAAACACCCAGGAGTTTGTTTAAAATTTTTATTATATCCTTATAATATTATGTTATTATGTAACATGATGTATATATGTATGTATAACAAATGTATATACAGAAAAATGTTTTAATATGATCTTCAGTGAAAAAGAGGACCATGGAATAATTGAGAGAATGTAATTTGTTTTTATAAAAATGTTAACATGATTATGTTTAAAATCTGGAAGGATATAGATAAAATATTAACCAGTGAGATTACAAAAGATTTACATCGTAATCTTTCTTCTAATGTGTATTTTTACTTTGTCAGCAAATTTTGTGGGTTATTTGAGTAATAAAAATAGTTGCTATAATTAATACAATGTCAAATATTTGAAATTCACTAAGAATAGATCTTAAATGTTCTCACTAAGAGGTAACTGTAAGGTAATGGATATATCAACTCACTTAATTGTAGAAATCAATTCACAATAGAGATGCATATCAAATTATCACCTATATACCTTCAATGTATGTAATTTTGTCAATTATGCCTCAATGAAACTAGAAAAATTTCTTATGTGCAATGAAAAACAGATGAGTTTTCATTTTTCTATTCCAAATAAGAAAACCCACAAAATCATTATTGTAAAGCTTTTCTTTCTGTCTCCTCTCCTCTTTCTTCTCCTTCTCCTTCTTGTGTGTCTGGAGATTTAACCCAGGGCCTTTGTACTGAGCCACATTCCCAGGCTTTTCTATTTTTTATTTTGCCACAGGGTCTCACTAAAACATTAAGTTGCTCAGGCTGGGCTTGAACTTGCACTCCTGCTGCCTCAGCCTCCTAGAATGCTGGAATTAGAAAAATGGGCCACACACCCACCCTACTTAGAGAATATCCAAACCTCTTATTTTGCAAATAAGTGCCCTGAAGCCCTGGGATGTTAAATGACTTGACCAGTAATTTCATCCTAGGTCACACTGGAGTCAGGCCTGAGTCAGAATTTGAACCCAGTACAGAAATTCATTGCTCTTTCTAAAGCACAGTTGCACCTCTGATGAACAAAAGTGGGCCCAAACACAGAGAGTTTCCAGGAAGCATGTGCAGCCTGGTGTGTGGTGTGGTCACAGCCATTCACTGGTTCTCAGGAGATCTTGAAAATGGCCCAGAGCATGGCTTGCTCAACAGCTGCAAGAAATCTCTCAGAGCGTAAAAAATGTTCCACCAGGGCTGGGGATTTAGCTTAGTGGTGCTGCTGCCTGCCTCACAAGCGAAAGGTCCTAAGTTCAATCCCTGGTACCAAACAAACAAACAAAAAAACATTGCTCTGCCAGCCTGCCTGACAAGCTGTATTTTCCCATTTGACAGGTAAAATCCTCTTCAGAAAATATTATGTTATAAAGAACTCTCTTCCCCAGGGTGTCAATGACGTCTTTTGTGAAGAAGGCTCTAAGGTGATCAACTAGATGCCAGAAATAATTAAGCAAGCCACACAGTCCAGAGGTGACTAATCGGACCAGCCTCCATTCAGTGCAGCCTGGACCAGATTAATAGATCAGCTGAGATCAATAAAAGACAAAAGTAATTAGAGATTCTTTTATGTGCTGCCTTTGGCACGTGGTTAGTTCCCGGAGTGCAGCTCAGCTTTGGGACCGAGGTGACATTGCATTGATTCCTATACCTTTACAGTTAGCCTGTGTGCAGGTGAAGCCCATGGATAGCCTGCCTTTCCCTCCTTCCCTCCGCTCAGCTTCTACCCTTATCATCACTCCTAGCCTTCTCCAGGGACTTGGACCAAAGTGCAACAAAATTTCATTTTCTTCTTGTTTGGCAAAGGGCCATTTTGCCATCTCTGAATTGGTTAGAGGAGTGTTTTTTAAAAATTTAATATCACCCTGTTGTTTTTTTTTTGGTACTGGGGATTGAACTCCGGTCCTTGTGCTTACAAGGCAGGTGAGGGACCACTGAGCTAAATCCCCAGCAATCACACTAAGTTGTTAAGCTGATATGACAGCTGTATTTTATTTTTCTTGAGCTGATCTTTTGCTTGCTTGCTGTTTTTTTTTTTAATTGATGTTTTTCGTTGCTTTCTAGGGAGCCTGGGCTAGGAGGGGTCAAGTTGGTATCAGTCCAAGGTTTTACCCAAATGGTGGCCCTAGTTGCATTAGTTTAGTTCAGGCTGGTGTGCATGTCACAGAAGAATGCATAATACCCGCTGACGTCCAGACCAGTTTCTTGTTGACCTTCAAGGTATAGTGCTATAGGATCTTTTCTGGGCCATTGGAAACTTAGCCTACTATATTTTTTGTTTGGTATCTTCAGCAATGTGACTTCTGTTCTTAGCATAATCTCATGATCTAGTATAGCTGACGGGGCTCCAACCATCTCAGTCCATTCTAGGTAGCAGGAGGAGAAAGAGCAGAAATGACATGAAAGCAGGTTGTAAAGGAGACTTTCCATTCAGGGAGACATCTTGTCTCCATCAGGTGACTGTCTCCCTCCCCACTCTAACTTGGAACATATTTTTCTTGCAGTTTAACTTTCAAAAGGCAGATACTTCCCATTTTTGATGCAGTGCCTTATTGTAACCTTAAAGTAATTTAAGGATTATTTCAGAATCCCCAAGCTTCTCCCTAGGTATCAGGCCAGGATTCCTCTAACTCATCTGAAAACATCTCCAACTTTGGACAAGTGCCAGTGTGAAACGATTAATCCGAGAAGAGGTACTCCTCCTGCTGCTATTTTCCTTTAAATTCCAAATTTGCTGGTACAATGTCTTAGAGATGGAGGATCAACCTTCCCTTTTCTTCTTTTGAACATATAAAGAACTTCCTTATATCTAATTTAAATCCCTGAAACACAGCTCAAGGCCATTTTATGTTTTGTCATCTTTGAAAATGGAGACCACTTACCAGTTGTTATGGCTTGTGTCTAGATGTCCCCAAAGCCTCATTCGATCATAGGTAGGGCTTTTTCAGAGGTGGCTGAATGTGGAGTGTGTGACTAATTCATGGTGCAATGCTAGGATTGAGGGTACTAGGATTAAGGGTGGGTGATTATTAAATCAGTCCACTGATTGGTTTGGCGCTGCCCTAATTCCAGTAGCATAGTTAGAATATAAAAGGAGCAGAAAAGAAAGCTGTTAAGGTCCCTTACTTGTTTAGCTACCTCTGCCTGCTTTGAACTGTTTCTCCTTTGTGATGTCCCTCTGCCAAGCCACTCAGTCTTGGAGCCAGCCAACTGTGGACTGAAACCTCTGCAAACTGTTTTCCAAATATTCCGGTGAAAGGGCATGGTCTTGAGAGTCAAAGTAACCTGCATTCAAATTCTTCTTCGGTGACTTGCGGGCTGTACGAATTTGAGTAAGTCAACTTTTCTGATCTTCACTTTCCTCATTTGCAGAATGGTGCCAAGCATGTCTGTCCTGTAGATTTTTGGAAAAAAATCTTGGAAAGATACGGCATTAAGGTGGTAGACTAAAAATCGTTAACTCTACCAATGCTATATGCAAGAATGGTGTTTGGGTTTTGTATTCTGAACCTAAGAATAAGGTAGGTTTCATGAGAACTGGGTTTTCTTGTGGACAAGCTGGTCAAATCTGGAGGACTTCAGACTGTACTGAGGAGAGAAGAGAGACACTTCAGAAATAATTGGAGAGAGTTGGGGATTTAGCTCAGTAGTTTCATTGCCTGCCTTGCAAGTACAAGGTCCCAAGTTTGATCCCCAGTACCCGCCACCAAAAAAAATTGGAGAACTAGCTTCTCTAAAAGTTATCAGGAACTTTATTTTGAGAATTTCTTTGTGGGAGAGAATTCCCCTCACAGGACAGAAAGGACAAGTGAGTGTTGATTTCAGACCCTAGAGCTGATATGGGGGAAGAGTGCTAACTGCACCCCTCAGTGGTAACCCCTGTGGGCTGTAATTAATGTCCTTAGGGACATTTAAAACCATGCTTCAGCCTCAGCCTCAGAAACTGAGCTTTTGTGTACCGTGAATTAGATTAAAAAACAAGACCACACAGCCAGTGGTTTCTAACTTCGGTGATTAGAATCACCAGGAATGCTTGAAACAGGGCTACCCTGTGGAGCTCCACCCAGAGATGCTGAATGTGCCTGAGGGGTCCAGGCCCCCCCCCCCGCAAAAGGACCCTCTGGCTCAGATGGTTCTAATGTGCTGCCAAGGTTCAAGTTCCTGGCCCAAGTACTCTAAATTAGCTTGAGCAACCTGACCTGGATTGACTACAGTGTTGAAACCACTTGCAAATGAAATCATGGAACCTCTTGGATCATCTTCAGAGAACTGGGAAGACTGTAATGGAAGAATATTAATGAGGATTGCCTTTGGGAAGACTTGGGGTGGACAAATATGACTTCAGTTTTTACAAAGTCAGTGAAAAAAAGTGCTCTAAAGCCCTGTAGCTCTGGAAAGTAGGTGTCAAGCAATATTTCTTTGTTCCTTTAAAATTTTTTTCACTGATACAAGAAGTTGTACATATTTGTAGGATATCACATATTAATTTGATATATGTAGTCATTGTGTTCTAACCAGGCTAAACAATCCTATCTCCTCAATAATCACTTTTAATGGCAAAAACACTCAAAGTCCTTTTTTTATTTCTTATCATTTTTCTAATTAAAATTGCAGTTGAGCAGTATGTTCTTCCACAGATTCAGCAGGAAAAAGAATCATCAAACTAACTACAGTCTCTAGTCTCTACTTTGACAGGATTTTTTCCCCCAGTACTGGGGATTGTGCTCTAACATTGAGTTACATCCTCAGCTATTTTAATTTTTCTTTTGAGAAAGAATCTCGCTAAACTTGAACTTGCTGGCCTCCACCTCCCTTAGTGTTGGGGTTATATGTGTGTGCCATCATACCCAGCTGGGTTGTCTGATTTTTTTATAAGGAGGCTGCATATATAAATTCATTACATTTTAGAAGGCATTTGTGAGAGAGTGAGACATAGAGAGACAGAGACAGAGAGAGACAGAGACAGACCGGGTTTACTGTGTAGTGAATCCCATCGCGCTCCTGTTTCCTGCAGACTTTTACTCCACATGTCTGAAATGAAACC